AGGTGTTCAGCCTCGTCCTTCTCCTCAAACTCCCCTGGCAGGTCCAGCAGGCTGAAATCCACCCACTCAGATGGTTCAGCTGCTTTGGTGAATTCTCCTTCAGCTGCACTGACCTTGTTATCTTTGCTGTGGGCTCCCTGTGCTGCTGGACTCTCCCCAATTTGCTGATGGTCATTTCTGCACCACAGAGGGCAAGAACAGGGAAGGGCTTGGGAAAGAGCAGGGAATGCAGAGGATGCCCATGGACTGTGTGATGTGTCTCAGCACTGAGTGGCCAGGGTGGAGCTGCCCTCAATCCAGGTTTTACACCCACCTGAAGCTCTGAGATGCTGATTTTCCCCTTGTTTTTAATGCTGAGCTTGGCTCTGGTGGAAGGGGAGTGCTGGTAAGGACACCCAGAGCATGCCTGGGGTTCAGAGCCATGGGGAAGGAGCTCAGTCCTCAATAACAAAACAGCCTGGAGGGGAAATTAAGGTGACAAAGGCAAGTGGAGAGAGCAGAGAGGTCACAGAAGGATCTGCCAGAGCTGCAAGGACAGAAAGTGCAGAAATACTTCAGAAATACTTCATCCTCCTGCAAAGCTGCTCCAGCAAGATTCCCATGCATGGACACATCTGGAGGAACAGGGGCACTTGTGTGCCAGGACAGGTCACACTGCTGTACAAAAGGGAACAGAGAGTTCTGACATCTGTGTGTCACCCACCAAAACTGGAATAAAGGCTGGAGAGCCCTGTGTGCTCTGCCTCTGCCCCCAGAGAGACTCAAACACCAGGTCCAGGTGTGGCACAGCCCTGCTGCTGGGCACCTCTAAACACTCCTGAGACAGCCCCAGCCTGAGGAGAGTTCAAACAGCATTTAGAGCAGATAGAAACACCTTTAATGCACCTACAGGCAAAATCAGGGATGTTCTCTACCCTAAAATTACTGAATTATACTGAAAAAGTAATTAAATAACTAAGAAACAATTACCTCTCTCCCAGCTGAAACCAGGACAGCAGTTAAGAAGATTTTTCATGTCACTTCATTTTCTGGGCTAGATGCAGCTTTTCCAAAGTTGAAGACAGACATTCATCCAGGGAGCTGGATAAGGGGAACTTCTCCTCCTTTACAGGGGAAGTCACAAACCAAATTCCCCACCATGCACAACTCACCAGAATTAACCTAAAGGAGATTGCAAAGCCTGAATCTTGCAGCAGCTCTGCCAGAAAAGTCCCTCTCTCAGTTTTCTGCTGTGCAGCATCTGCTCCATCCTTTATCAGACACTCCTTTCCATGTCCATCTTCCCTCCAGCCACCTGCACCGTTCCCATTCATTGTTCCCAAGCATTTTCCAGCGGGTGCAGTGCCCACAGCACCAGGACAGGGTGTTGTGCCCAGGAGCAGATGCTCTGGAGCATTCAGAGGTGTGAGGATACCTGACAATGGTTCAGTTGTTCACCTCTTGTTATCCTGTAAATCACAGCCCAGCTGAGCCTGAAGAGCCTCACTGAGTTCCTCTGATCCCTCAGGAAAGCCTACAGACCTGAATTGTTTGTGAAAACTCTCTCTGCAGTCAGGCTCAGTGGGTTTGGAGAGAACTCATGGTTAGTTCGTGCCACAGGGATCCCACCCGTGCTGCAAGGACAAACTGTCCCCTCTGAGTGTGAGCAGGGGGCGATTCCAGCTCCGGGAGGATCTCAGGGCAGGCAAGGCTGCACCACCCTCTAGTGCACACCCACAGCAGTGCCTGTGCTCAAAGGATGGGAAAAATTCCTGATCCAGCCCGGCTGAGCCTCCCGGAGCTGGGCTGGCACAGCCCTGCAACAGCAGCTGGGAGCAAAGGGAGAGAGCTCCTCTGAGAGGGAACCCAGGGCAGAACCAAGGGCTGGCCTGGCCTTGGCACGGCGAAAAGCCACTGCCCTGCACCCAGCACTGTGCACATGCAGCACCCTGCACCCAGAGCCCTGGCAGCCCAGATCCCTGGGACCCCACACCCTCAGATCCCTGGAACCCCAGACCCTGCACATCCAGCACCCTGCACCCCATATCCCTGTATCCCTGAAATTCCAGACCCTGCACATCCTGCACCCCAGACTCCAGGATCCCTGGCAGCCAGATCTCTGGAATCCCAGATCCTGAACCACATGCCTCTGTATCCCTGGAATCCCAGATCCTGCACCCCATATCCCTGTATCCCCAGAATTCCAGACTCTGCACATCCAGCACCCTGTACCCCATACCCCACATCCCTGGATCCCTGGCAGCCCAGAGATCCCTGGAATCCCAGACCCTGGACCCCACACCCCTGGATCTCTGGAATCCCAGACCTACACCCTCAGATCCCTGGAATCCCAGACCCTGCACATCAAGCACCTTGCACCCCATACTCTGTATCCTTGGAATTCCAGTCTCTGCACATCCAGCAACCTGCACCTCACACCCCTGGGATCTCTGTAACCTGCATCCCTGACACCCCAGCACCCTGCACCCCACACTCCTGATCCCTAGCAGCCAAGACCCTGGAATCCCAGGCCCTGGACCCCAAATCCTTGTATCCCCAGAATTCCAGACTCTGCACATCCAGCACCCTGCACCCCATATCCCTGGGACCCCAGACCCTGCACATCCTGCACCCCAGACTCCAGGATCCCTGGCAGCCCAGATCTCTGGAATCCCAGATCCTGCACCCCATATCCCTGTATCCCCAGAATTACAGACTCTGCACATCCAGCACCCTGTACCCCATACCCCACACCCCTGGATCCCTGGCAGCCCAGATCCCCAGAATGCCAGATCCTGCACCCCATATCCCTGTATCCCCATAACTCTAGACTCTGCACATCAAGCACCTTGCACCTCATACCCTGTATCCTTGGAATTCCAGACTCTGCACATCCAGCAACCTGCACCCCACACTCCTGGAGCCATGCGATGCCAGACCCTGCACCCCACACCCCTGGATCCCTGGCAGCCCAAATCCCTGGAATCCCAGATCCTGCATCCCATATTCCTGTACCCCTGGAATCCCAGATCCTGCACCCCATATTCCTGTACCCCTGGAATCCCAGACCCTGCACATCCTGCACCCTGCACCCCATACCCCCCACTCCTGGATCCCCAGCAGCCCAGATCCCTGGAATCCCAGGTCCTGCACCCCACACCCCTGGATCCCTAGAATCCCAGATTCTGCACCCCATATCCCTATATCCCCAGAATTCCAGACTCTGCACATCCAGCATCCTGAATCCCATATCCCTGTATCCCTGGAATCCCCAACCCTGCACCCCACACCCCTGTACCCCTGGAATCCCAGTCCCTGCACCCCATATCCCTGCACCCCTGGAATCCCAGCCCCTGCAGCCCAGTGCAGCCAGCTCAGCTCCTGCCATGCAGGGTTCACCTGCACAACAGGGCTCTGTGTCATTCCTGGCACAGGAGTGAAACCTTTCTCATCTCAAAACATGGAACATTTTCACTACCAAAACAGGCAAGCAGGGAGAGATGTTCACTACTAACATTGTTTTCTGGAATTGTGTCTCCTTGAGCAGCAGCAGACTGGCAGCCACTCCCTCTCTGCTGCCCAGCTCTCCCCTCCTCAGCCAAACTTGCCACCAGCACTGGGAATGGCCAGTTCATATTCTGGGCTTCAGTTTCTTCATGGATGTAAAAAACTGGGAAAAATCACCATTGTGTGTGACAGTTCTGCAGGTACAGGCCTTTGTACCAAACAGTAAAAAATAATCATCCTGGATGACAAATTCCTGCTGCAAGAGAGCACATCAGCCTTGGGATATGGAGAACCTCAAGTGACCAAGAGAATCCCCAAAACAATCCTAAAATTACCTCCAAGTCTGAGCAGAGCATGGGCCTGAGCAGGTTCATGGCCAAAGTTTGGCAGCAGGGTGGGATGTTATTTGGTCTAAGTTGCCAGGACAGTTTAAACAGTTTGAAACCAAAACTCTGCAGGAAATTGTTACACCCAGGTGCTGTTTCAAATAAATCTAGTATCAGGAAATTGTTACACAGGTGCTCTTTCAAATAAATCCAGTGTCAGAACTGCTGAGAGGCTCCCAAAGGCAGCCCTTACCTGAGAGCTGCAGTGGAGACAAGAGAACACAGGAAATGTGGGGTACAGGACAGTGCCCCTGTGTCAAACACAAACACCTCCCACCTTTCCTGTTCCTGCACCAAAGCAGAAATAAAGCACCAAGGTGGTGAAGGCAGGGTGTCACTGCCCTCACACAGCATTTCTGAGCTCAGGAGGAAGAAAACCACACAGAGGGGGAGGGAGCAGCACTGGGGAGGGAGTCCCACCCCTCCACTTAGCTACTGTGTTTGTTTGGGTGTTTTGGACACAGCTTCAGGAAACAGAGGAGTCTCCTGAGCGTGACTTGGCACTCAGAGCTCTAGTCCCAGGAAATGAGAGCTGATGGGTAAAGAAGGAAGGAGGTTTAGGTTGGGTATGAGGATAAGGTTCTTTCCTCAGAGGGTGGTTGGGCACTGAACAGGGCCCTGCACAGTCCAGCTGAGGCAGAAGCAAAAGCAGAAGTGGAACAGAAACAGTGACACAAGGGAGCCATGAAGGACAGGCCTGCCAGCCTGGAGGAGAGAAGCTCTGGGTAACCCAAGTGCAACCTGCCAGGGCCTGAAGGGAGCCTTCAAGGAAAGGGGAGAGACTCTGTACAAGGGCCTGGAGTGCCAGGAAACAAGGAATGGATTCCCACTGCCAGAGGGCAGGGATGGATGGGATATTGGGAATTGGGAATTGTTCCCTGTGAGGGTGGGCAGGCCCTGGCACAGGGTGCCCAGAGCAGCTGTGGCTGCCCCTGGATCCCTGGCAGTGCCCAAGGCCAGGTGGGGCAGGGTTTGGAGCAGCCTGGGACAGTGGGAGGTGTCCCTGCCATGGCAGGGGTGGCACTGGATGATCTGAAAGGTCCCTTCCAACCCAGGAAATTTCTATGATTCTATGTTTTCACAAACTGAATATCACTCCACCTACACCTAAGCCCTACTGCCACTGAGGAACATCCCAGCCTTGCCCTTTGTAACTGGCTCCAGGACTCACTTCAAGGTAGTCCTTTGGAGAAAAGCTGGAAGGAAAGAGGAGAGACTGGTTCCATTTCTGGCTTTCTTTGTGGAAGCCCATCTGAGAAGAGGCTGCTGACTGCTGCCTGGGTTGGTGGCAGCACTGGACATCTCTGATAGTGCAGCACATCTTACCATGTGCTACACGAGCTGGAACCTCAAACAGGAACTGCTTTCAGTGGAGCTCATCTCCTCTGAGTCTTCCTCCTCTTGAGCATCTTGTCCAGAGACCCCGAGGGGCAGACCAAGGCCTTGATCAGCCCCAAGAGCCCACAGCACCTGCTCAGCCACACCAGGGCTCCACACTCACTGAGCAGAGCTTAAAGACACAGGATGCTAAGCTTAAAAATATGCATTTTCTTTTTTTTCTTTTAAAAATGTACAGTCAGATTTCAAGTGGATCTACAAGAAGACACTCAGCTATGTTTAAGAAAAGTAAACCTTGCAATGCACTGCATACAGTTTTCTAACCAGCCAGAGCCAGTGAGCTGGGTGAACTGCAGCGAATCCTGAAGGAGCTTCAGTGGCTTTGTTTTTGTCTCCACCCCGTGGGCAGAGGCACTCAGAAGGCAGCAGAGGCTCAGCTCCTCTCCCCTCAGGCCTGCCCTGCAGCCCAGCTCAGCGTGAGGCTGGGGTGGGCACGGTGGGCAGGGGCAGCTCCATGGAGGGAGTCTCAGTCACTTCAGCCGGGCTGGGCTTGCGCAGCTCCAGCTTCTCACTGAGCTGGTTGTAAAGCTCCTTCACAGCTTCCCCACTCTGCAGGAAAGAACCAGGGACAGGCAAACAGCACAGTCACACTCCATTCTAGCCAGAGCACCGAGTGTGCTTCACCCTGTGTGTTTAACACAAACCAACACAGGAGGAGGGAGCCACAAGGTAATTAATTAGGCCACAGCTTGGTAGCCTTGGAAAGCAGAGCTTGTGTTCCATTAAACAGTGTCTGGCAAGGCAGCTGCTTTCATTTGCAATCAGAATTCCCTTTCTCCTGCTTCCCTTCCTACCTGCTTGGTGGGCTCCAAAGCTTTCTGGAGAGACTCCAGCTTGGCTGGGGCCACTTTGTGGTGCAGATGCAGCATCAGCCTGAGCACATGTCTGTGCACGTTCTCCTTCCTGCAAGAGCCAATTGAAAGCACAGTTACCAAGACAAACAAACATCTTGAGAACAAGGAAGCCAGAGCAACAGAATAATTCTCCCCACCACAGACTTTGTTATAATTATCCAAAAACCCCTGAGAATTGGAGCTTCTGGAAGGGCTTAACGTAGTGTAAGCACTAACACTGCCTTAGACCTTCAAGGATTCAAGGAGGGGATTACCTGCACAACCATGAGGAGGGAGGGGGAGATTTTAAGAACAGAGTGTGTGGAGGAAGCAGCAGAAGCAGCAGCAGATGCTGCTGTGCTCCAGCAGGAATTTCAGCCACTTTCAGGGAAGCTTTCTGGAGGCTGAACTTGTCTGCAGGCCACCAGCTAAACCAGAGTGAGTGACCAGAGGTAACAACAGATTTTTGTGTGCTGCTGATACTGCAAAGAGCTGAAGTTAACTCTGCATAGCCAGAATTACTGCAAAGCCTGAAGGATATTCTCCTTTGCAACTCCACCTTAGGCATAATGAATGAAATAATTCACAGTCAAGACATATCCATTTGGCTGATAAAAACTTCATCCCAAAACATTCACCTTTCCTTAAAGGAAAACAGCATCAGGCTGATATTTTCACTGCTTGTGAAGAATTTGGTGAACTATTAAACTGTTGTTCAAAGCAGTAAAACTCTGTCAGGCATTCTGTGAACTCCCTCTCTCCAGTGAGAACAACCTGCTTTACCTGGAGCAGGCAGTGAGGAAGAAGCCATCAAAGAGACTGGTGCAGAACTCCTCGAGTGCAAACTCATCACTGAGCAGGGTGAGGTTACCAGTGAGCAGGTGCAGGAAAATGTCACTGAAGGCCAAGTCACTGAATGTCTCAACTATGAAACATGGAAAGGAAAGAGACACAGACTGACAAGGATGTGCCAACACCTGTCCACACAGCTCCTGTTCCTGCTGAAATCCTGCAGTGAGGTTTCATCATAGAATGGTTTGAGTTGGAAGAGACCTTAAAGCCCATCCAGTGCCACCCCTGCCATGGCAGGGACACCTCCCACTGTTCCAGGCTGCTCCCAGCCCTGTCCAGCCTGGCCTTGGGCACTGCCAGGGATCCAGGGGCAGCCACAGCTGCTCTGGGCACCCTGTGCCAGGGCCTGCCCACCCTCACAGGGAACAATTCCTCCCCAATGTCTAATGTGAGCCTACTTCCTTTCAGTCATTTTTTTCTCATTTCCTTTGCTAACAGGCAGCCCAGGCAGGTGGCTTTGATCCTTCAGACATAAAAGATTAGGAGCAGATTGCTCCAGAGCTCTCCTGCAACTCATCCCAGAGGAGTCAGTGAACAAGATAATACTGGTGAAAAAATTAAGGCTGTGTTCAGCCCTATTTTGTTACTTATTTTGTTACCAATTTTTCCACCACACAAAGCCAAGTCCCAGCAACTTCTGGCCACCTGCAGTCACTGTGGGCAGCAGCAGAATTGGGGCACCTGCTCTGCTATTTTTCAGATTCATTCCAAACAGTTCCCAATTGATCTCATTGTTAATGGAGGCCTTGATGCAAGGAAGCACTGACCTCAGCACTGCCCCCAAACTCTCACATCAGCAGAAAATTGCAGAACCCAAACAATCCTGCAGGGACTCACAACTAAGTCACCAAAAGAGCCAAAGGCAGAACACATGTCCCTGGTCTGACATCCCTGCCACTCCAGGTTCAGTGGCCTCCTGGGTGTCCCCTACAAGGCAAACAGAAGATGAGACAAAAACGTACCTAGTGCTGGCAGCAGCCTCAGAAAGGCATTCTTGTTCCTCTGTTTGGTGATGTGAAGAATGTAATACAGCCCAATCTCACAAGCTATCCTGTTCTCCTGCAGGAACCTGTTATGGCACAAGCAAAGTTTATTCATCAATAAAGCAAATTTTTTTAATTCTTAAGAGGTTTAAAGTACTTGTAGGATGGTTATCAAGCAGGTACAGCAGTGGCTCATCTCAAACCCACTGAAGAGCAGCTATTCAGTGAGTGAGCAGATGGATCACCCCTGTGTTCACTACCACACTTCCAAAAACTGAACATTCAGCAAACATCTGTGTTTACCTGTCCACAGTTATAATGTATTCCTGATAAAAGTGCTGCTCAAAATGGGCTTTAGAAGAAGCCCAAATTACAAAAAATCAAAAAATGTTTTAGTCTCCCAAAAGTCAAACATAACACTGTGATAGAAGAGAGCACAACTACCAGGACCCAGTACCCAGATTCTGGCACACAGACAAGAATTTTGCTAGAAATCAGATGATCTGAACAGAAAAGAGCAGAGAGAGGTTTTCATTATGCTTTTGATGTCCCTGGAGCGACAGGTTATCAACAGAGATAGTGTGGGTGCCAAAAATGCCAACTTTATGATTTCCAATAGTGCTCTTCAACACGGGCACTCATCCAGCTGCACCCAAACATCACCCCAAACTCAGCATCCACTGCCTGGGAAGCTGAACAGAAACACCAAATATATTTCATATTCATATTAATATTCATATATATCTCATATTCAATGAGAGAATGGTCCATTATAGGACCATTATTTATGTAGATAAATTGTATTTGAGGGAGCACAAGGGAAACCCGTTTTGTTAAAGTTCAAACTGGATGAATCAGCACTGAATCTCACCCCAGGAAGCCCTGCCTTTAGCACAGGCAGTTTTCCCTGCCAGGTCTGGCTGGCTCCTGCTGCCTCGGAGCCAGAGGCTGCAGTGGGTGGGGCCAGGCACGTACTTGGTGAAAGCCTCGGGAATGGCGCTGGGGTAGGGGATTGGTCCCTTCTCCTCCGAGGGCAGCTTCTGATCCACTGTGAAGGTGTGGTCATCCACCACAAAGGACATCAGCAGGGGCAGGAACCTGGTGATCAGCTCGGCTTCCTTGGAGGGAGGGAAGAGAACAAAGCCATCATCAGTCACTTCATGCCACCCCATGGTCCTGAAGTGCTGTGACAAAAGCAAGGCAGTGTGAGGAGCCTCATCCTACAGTGAGGAAAACCAGCGGACAGACATCTAATTCCAGTAAAAAATCCTGAATAATTCACTTCCACACAGTTCCATGGTAATTAGGAAAACTCTGCTTCATCTCACTATAGGAACACTATTGCTCAAACCCTTTCTTTGGACAATTGTGTTCCATTTCTCCTGAGAGGCTCTACCAGCACTGCTGCAGGCATGGGATGTGTTCAGGATGACATCAAAATGCTGATATCAACAATCACTGACTCCCAGCATGGCCCAGGCTTATTTGTGGTAACACAACCACAAATAAATCAGATTTTAAGGACTGATTCAGAGACTCCCTTTGGAAAGAAACAGCATTTTCCCTTAGAGGTTCATGAGAGAGCACAAATGACAGCACCGCCTTCAGAATTACTTGTCCCTCTCACTGCTACAGTCCCAGTGTTATGCACACCCTCCCTGGGTGAATTAAACATCCTAGCAGCCAGGAGTGGATGCATTTTAGAGACTTCAAATGTGCCCCCAGGTGTTTATAAAACATTTACTGCTTTATAGTTCAGAACAGAAACAGCAAACTCCTCCTGAGGAACAGCCCTGCTGTGCAACACCAGGGTTGGCCTTCCTGCCCTCAGCTGAGCCACACCAGGGATTCCTGTAACACTGGGAAAGGATTTCCAAAGCATGGAAAGATTACAGCTCAATGTGGCACTACATTGACCTGCTGTAACACAGAGCTGGAAGGGGAAAAAAACATTTTTCTTGTCAATGAAAAGCCTCTGAACTGCTACCAGAGTTTGAGACAGTCCTGGAAATCCTGCTTTCCTCATGCAAGATGTGTTCTTCAAACCCATCAGTTGTGTGCAAGACTCCAGGAAAAATGAGAGAGCAATGAGCAACCAGTGGAGTATTTAACAGAGGTACAGGCTGATTTTAGAACAGGAAGGACCAGGCACCCATGGAAATAAAAAGGTAATGGAAGCTCCCAGCATGTCCAGAACAGCTGCTCTCTGACCACTGTTTTTTCCCAAGAAAGCTCTGATGAGATATTTGGAGAACAAATGTTTAATCAGGAATGCAATAAAATAATAAACAAGTCTAAATTTGATTAATTGTGTTAAATTCTTAACATCAAAAGGGCTCACCATTTTTGGTTCCTTGAAGACTTGGCTGTCAATCATGTCCCAGGCCCCCTGTCCCAAAGACAGCATCCTAAGGAGCAGCAGTAGATCTGGGCTTTCCTCCAATGTCAAGGCGAGAAGAAAAACAGCTATTTTAATTTTCACATGAGATATTTATTTGGAAGAAGTGGTTTATATTCAAAGCTGTTCTGGATTAGCAGCTTTGTCCAACACTGCTAAAGGCATTCAGTTCAAGTTAATTGAAAACTGATCCTCAAATGGGCATCAAATAACTGCCACACCTCAGGGTTTGGGGAGGGTTTGTAAATTTATAATGCACCAGGAAGTTTGCAGTCATCTGAGAACATCTTTTTAAAATGTGTCCAGCCCAATTAGTGCATTAAAATGTAATGTGTGAGAGCATAAACCAAGTCATCTCAGCAGAAGAAAGGAGGAGAAAGGGTGTGTAAGAATGGATTGTTTGTGTCCTGAAACCCAAAGGACTTTCAGTCTTAAACTGTCACAAGGAAGTTGCTCCATGCAAGAACATTTAACAGCTCAGGGATGAAACAGCAAGTGGCTCCCATTGTTCAGACACCTGTCAGGGTGCCCTTCTTTAACCCTTCAGCACCTCCTGCAGACTCCACTAGCAGGAATTGTGTTTTATCTCAGCCACCAGAGCAGAGCTGTGCAAACAAACCCATGGCATTCACCATGGCAGGAGGAAGGTGCTGCTGTCAGACAGACTGATGGAGGGACAAAGCAGGGAGGCACAGATTCTACACATTATTCTGTATTTGCACAGCTGCCAGGCAGAATGAGCCATGCAAAGAATTCATGGCCAGTTTAGAGAGATCCAAAATGTCTAAAGAGCTCCTGCAGAGCTCTGCAATTGGACAGGAATCATGTTTCCCTTGTTCCAGCTGCCACATTGGGGAACTTAATGAGCCTTGGATGGTGCCAGTCCTTCCCTGATGGCTGTCAGTCAGCCTGGAGCACAGTCCAGGTTAGCTACACAAGCTGCAATGCTTACCCTGGGTAAGGTGTCCTGCCCAACCAGGTCCTGCAGGTGCCTTATGGTGCTCAAGGCTAAGGTGTTAATGGCAAAGGGATCACACAGGATCATTGATAAGTCCCTGAGAAGAAGTAAAAACCAAACACTTGTCACACATAACCAACAACCCCATTGTACTGGTCCAAACCCAGCTGTGTGCACCTGCTGAACCTTGTCCTGCCTTGTAAAGAAATAACACTCATGGGGGTTTTGATGTGAAAGAGCACAAATAACAATTGTGAAAGTCTTCTGCACTGAGATCAAGCACAAAATCCCCCACAGCCAGTTGAAGGTCTGCTGGGAGACAGCCCACAGGTACTGGGGCTCTTTGAGCTGGCAGGTTTTGACCATCTCCAGAGTGCTGAGGACAGAAAGGTCTCAGAGGCTTTTGAAAAACAACAGTAAAACTGAATTCTTAAATAGTTTAAAATACCAATGGAGAAAATCTGAAAGTACCAGCTAAATAAAATACTGTGAGGGCAACCTTCCAGAAATATGTGTACCAGATCACAGCAAGGTTTTCACTTGAAGTTAATGAAATACTTTAACTGACAAACATCACCAGCCCATTTTCTCTGGGTTTAAAGCCAGACAAGTCATTCATATTAAGTTATTCTGACTCCTTAAGAAAGGCTAATGAATTTTGTTATGAGGCCACAGGGGAGACTCAAGGGTGGCAAGTGAAGCAGTGCAAGCTCTGCCACCAGGCTGTGCTTGGCTGTGACTCTGTGACTGCACAGAGGGGCTGCTGGAGGTTTGCTGGCTTTAGGGAAGAATGAACACCTGTCAGATGTTATGAGTGCCAGGAAGCCAATTTCAGGTTCCCAATGAACAGCCCAAGTGCCTTACCCCAACACTTGCTCTTGTCCTTTCTTCACCCCATCCAGGAATCCTTGCAGCTCCCGAGCTCTCTTGTTGTCCACGAACTTCTCCCGAATGCAGGCGTCCAGGCACCAGGTGAACTGCAAAATGGAGGGAGCTTTAGGAACTCATCAAACAGCAACAGAATACATGATGTCAGACAAAACAGGCTCAGAATGACCTCAAAATATCTGCAGTTGAGATGCTTCATTAGTGCACCTAGGCACAGTACCACAGTGGTGACAAACACAGAGGTCAGAAAGGCCAACAGCCCAAAAGCAGGTTGGGAATGCTCAGGGAAGTTAACCTGGGGTCACTTTCTCACTTCCCTGGCAATTAAGGAGCAGGCATTTATTAAATCCACCACTGCCCTGTACATCTGTGGATTTACACAAGGAGGAGACTGAGAAAGAAGCAGCATCACTTAGAAACAATAATGTGGTATATTTTGGCCATTGCAACAGCACTCCCACTCACTAAATAAAGGAATATTCACAGTGGAGGTATTCCTGCTTTAGAGCTGTATTACTGAACTATTTTTTAAGCAGAATACATGTAAGACTTAACAACTACTTCAGAGAAAAGGCCTTGTTCCAGGTCAGAGTGATGCTACCATGAACAATGGGCCAGTAACAAGATGCTGCTGTGACATTATCACATCTGTCACTTCCCAATATTTGAATGGATTCATGTTTTCATTCATGTTTCTTGTTTTCATTCAATATCTAAAGTATTTATTGTCACACACAGTTTACTGACAGATGGAGCACATCCACAGGATTAGCAAATCTATAGGAAGGACGCCTGGAGTAAGAATCTGGGGCCAGCTGATGCTTTTTATTATTTTTGCAGCATCCACATAGAATAGATGTCAGATTAGACATTGCTGTTAACACTTCCAAAGTACCCTAAATCTTAATGACGATGGATTATGAAATGAAAGCAAAGTGCTGGTTAACCAAGATGAAGTTTTCACCCAAAGGTCTAAGGAATGTAAGATGATGTTTAGGTTCAAGGTCTGAACTCTCTTTACAGAAAGGACTCATTTTCTCATGGCTTTTTCCAGCAAATTCTCCACAAACACCCCCATGTGACAGGTACCTTGTGGCAGGGATCAACAGTGCAGATCTCACTGATCTCCAGGTCGTGCAGGGACATGAGGAGCTCAGCCCTGAGCGTGCAGTAGTGGACGTTCCTGGTGCGCAGGAAGAGCGTCCTGAGGAACTGCAGCACCATGTCATAGAGCTTCACGTTCTTGCCAATCATCTGGGTCAGCTTCTGCACCACCTGAGCTCAGGGGAAACGAGGGCTCAGCACCACGAGGTGCTCTCAGTCTACACACACACAAATGTGAATTAATTATCTGATGTGATTCACCAAGATTGAAACATCTGCAGGGACTGTTTACACCAAGATTTCCAAGAGCATTTGTTCAAGACATTCACCAGGTCTTCAGCAACCATAACCTGGTTTTGTCTCAACCACTAGTTTCTTTTTTCTACCCTTCTGATTCTCCCCCCATCCCCTTGGGGGAGTGACCAAGTGGAGGTGTGGTGCTGAGTGTCCTGCTCTGCAGTGCAAATCTGGAGTAAATTGCACCAGGGCACTTACACCAAATGATTCTGAAAGCAAAACAGCCCTAAAACAACCCCTCATGTAACAGATGTGCTGCCCTCTCTGAAATTAAAGCTTTATCCTGCCTTAATTTAATTCAACTTTTCTGGATGCCAATTAAATACAACTTTCTACATCTTTTAAAATAAAAAAAAGCAACTTCAGTTAAGCCATGTCCACTAAAAAAGTTCCCAAGTAAGCAAATTTAACATATCAGCATACTCAAACTGATGTGATAAGAGATGTTCAGCCTTAAGAACAGCTGAAGTGAATTAAAACCAGACTGACAAACAGAGAAAAAAATCTGCCCTTTCTTTTTTGGAAGTGCATAATCAGCTTAGAACATTCATCTTTTATTACACAACAACTAAAATAATTCCTGCTGTTTTCATCAAGATGTGTAGGAGAAAATGACCTGGTGTTTCTTGCAAAGAGTTTGTTCAGCTAAATAACTTCAGCAGTGAAGGTGGGCAGAAGAAAACAGCCCATGTTATGTGATGGTTGACTGAAAGCTGATAAATTCCCCTCACACACACTGTGAGGGTTTCCTTGTCCTTACCTCTCCTTGACGTCTCGTTTTGGGAGACGGACTGAAGAAATTTTGCAAGAAGGAAATGTCATTGCTGAAGAGAATGTTCTCCTTCTCCAGGATGTATTGCTTCAGCAGGGGTGACACCTCATCCCCAAAGAGAGCCTGGTTGTCCTGCCAGATCTGTCTCTTCACCTCCACAGCACAGGCCTTGTACAGATCCTTATCAGCCATCACCAGCTTCAGCTTCTTCTCAGGGACCTGCAATCCCAGAGCAGTTACACAGTGAGCAGCTCCTCACCTGCCTGTCACTGTAACCATCCAAATCATGGAATCACAGAACGTCCTGAGCTGGAGGGACCCACCAGGATCATCCAGTCCAGGCCCTGTCTCCCACAAACCAAAGGAAAAGGAAACTGAGGTTGTTCTGTAATTGAGAAATCCATGTCAGCTCCTTTTTATCCCCCTGGGGTTTGCAAACTGGTTGATTCTGAAAGGCTGCACAGCGAAGCACGAAATGAAAAGCCAGGAGAGCACAGTGCTTCTGATTTGAGGAAATATCCACATTTTCACCTCAGGTTCCTGGGGAGTGGCTGTCTGCACAACTGGCCTGTGCCACAACCAGTTGCAGCACGGATGGAGGATAATTCAGCACATCCTTGGCTGACCTCATGGAATCACAGAATATCCTGAGCTGGAGGGACCCACCAGGATTATCCAGTTCAAATCCTGTCCCTGCCCAGCCCCGCCAGCAGCCCCACCCTGGGCACCCCTGGCAGCGCTGCCCAAAGGCTCCTGGAGCTCTGGCAGCCTCGGGGCCGTGCCCATTCCCTGGGCAGCCTGGGCAGTGCCAGCACCCTCTGGGGGCAGAGCCTTGCCCTGAGCTCCAGCCTGAGCTGCCCTGGCCCAGCCCCAGCCGTGCCCTGGCTCCTGTCCCTGTCCCAGAGCAGAGATGGGAGCTGCCCCTCGGGAGGAGCTGCAGCCCCGGGGAGCTCTGCCCTCACTCTGCTCCAGCTGAGCAACCCCAGAGCCCTCAGCTGCTCCTCACTGCCCCTCCAGACCCTTCCCCATCCTTTTAGCATTTTCCAACAGCTTTAGATAGTTTTTTATCTTGTGTCCAAACAGCCCCAGGACTCGAGGTGAGGCTGCCCCAGCACAGAGCAGGACAATCCTCTCCATGCCCTGATCCCCACCTCAGGCAGTCTGGGCATTCACCTACCTGGTGTAGCAGCAGAGCAGCCCTAAGAGACTTCTTCAACAACAAAATGACACCCCCTTAATTCTTTCAAGGAAGAAAAAATATTTACTTTAAATCTCCAGTGCTGACATTTAAGGTGATATTTCCAATCTCAATAAATTACTGAAGTTCCAGCAGTGTTTTGATTCCATTACCTTGAGTGCAACATGATGCTTCTAGTAAGGACACTCCTAGAGATTTTTATTTCACTGATTCTGAGATCTGATTCTCCTTCCGGCCTACTTTTAATTGCACTCTTCAAGTCTTACCTTCCCCTTGTCAGGGATTTGTAAATCAGCTGTGGAAAAACTCACCTATGAGCAAACTTGGCTTTTTAGGAAGCTGCATGGATTGAAGGAAATAGGGAAATAGTCTAGTCTGATTATGAAAATGTGAAATGCTTTTTGAATTAGTCCACTGAGCTATTAGCAGACACAAGAATGTACTGAATCCTCAGTCAGTCCCTGACAGTGAACAACACACTTGCAGAAGGTGCAGAGGGAGCAGAGCCCACCTGCCAGAGGCACACCAGGGATGTCACACCAGTGTCACAGCATGTCACACCACATCACACCAGGCCAAACAGCACAGTGCTCCCACCTTGGGCAGGTGCTTCATGACACACATGACCACGGGCTGTATCGAGGGCATCTTGACCAGGGAAAAGCTCTTCTCTAGGAGATCTTCCAGCTTCTTGTATCTGAAATCATGGAAAAACACCACACTAGGTACCATGCAGCAGCAAAGGAATAAAGTGGCCACCTCAAAGCCACTGGAGCTCAGGCCCTGAGTAACCTTTAGAGAAGTCACTGCTGACAAACCTCTCCTCGACCTTCCCCTCCAAAGCGATGGCCGAGACTCTCTCCAGCAGCTTCTCCCGCAGCTCATCGAACACGGACTGGTGGAACTCGAGCCGGGGGGTGCCGTGCAGGTCCAGGAAGGGCAGGGCATACTGCAGCGAGGGCAGCAGCACCCCGTTCTCCGTCTGCAACACGGCCAGAGGGACTGACAGCGGCGCTCGGGATAACAAACAAAGCCAGGAAAAGCCCGGACAGCACTGCGGGCCGTGCCGTGCTCCCGGTGCCCGCTCGGCCCGGCCCCACACGGCCCCTAACGCACCTGGAACTGCTCGATGGCCTTCAGCGGCTCCGTGCAGTTCGTGAGGGTCTCCTTGAGATCCTCGCCGTTGGCCACTCCCAGCTCCTGCAGCCCCGCGTACATGTCGGCCTGGCCGGGCCCGCGGGGCCGCTCCCGGCTCGGATCCCGGCTCAGATCCCGCTCCCGATCCCGGTTCAGTTCCCGGTCCCGGTCCCGGTCCCGGTCCCGCCTCAGCTCCCGCCCCGGCCCCGCGCGGTCCGCCCCAGCCCGGCCCCGCCGCGCGCGGGCCCCGCGCCGCAGCACCAAGGTTCCGCCGCACCAAGGTTCCGCGGGCGCTGCCCGGGTTCTCCCCGGGCTCCCCGCAGCCCGAAGAGCTCGGTGCGGCTCGGCTGAGCGCCGGGCAGGGCGGATGGAGCTCAGGGAGCCTTTGGACAGCGCTGTCAGGCACATGGAATCAGAGAATGACAGCATGGTTCGGGTTGGAAGGGACCACAGAGGGTCATCCGGGCCCACCTTCCTTTCCAAGCAGGGCCATCCCAGAGCACACAGCACAGGGTCGTGTCCAGAGTGTGAAAAATGCATGTATTTTATGATTGGCTTTTCACAAATATTGAAATGAATATTATATGTGTTGTGTTAGAAAGTAATGCTGTATTAATTCTCTTAAGTACTGTGTTAAATATAGTTTTAGGTTCTAAAAATTGTTAAAATAGAAACGATGCTATGTAGGATACATTTTTAAAGAAAGGGCTTGCAGCGAGATAGCAGCCACAGGACCCCTGAATCTTTCAGAGAAAGAGAATTTATTGCCCTCTTATCAGAAGAAACTAATTTCTTCCCGCCTTGAAGGCGCTGTTAGGATTTGAAGGAAGAAGTTGACGATGACCAGACAGAATCCTGTGTTTGAATGGAATTTATGCATCATGTATGAAGTGTATGAATATGCAACAGGCTATTGCTTTTAAGGGTTAATCCTTTGTTAACGTGGGTCCTTTTTTGGGCTCGTGCTGCCCAGAAAAAGGTACCTGGACGTCCGTAACTCTTTGTATTTATTGTCTCAATTGTCCTAATTCAAATTGTCCAAATTATTATTATTCTAATTATATTACTATTTTTATAACCATTTTATTGCTATTAAACTTTTAAAATTTTAAAAACAAGTGATTGGCATTTTTCACACAGAGGTTCTGGAATATCTCCAGTGAGGGAGACTCCACACCCTCTCTGGGCTGCCTGTTCAGTGCTTGGTCACCCACACAGGAAAGAAATTGTTCCCCATCTTTGGGTGGAACTCCCTGTGTGTCAGTGCTGCCTCTTGCCCACTGCTGGGCACCAGCAGAGTCTGGTCCATGCTCTGACAGTGCCCTTCAGACACTCACACACTCGATATGGTGAGAGATCCCCTCTGGGCTGTCTCTTCTCCAGGCTGAACAGGCCCAGCTCCCTCAGCCTTTCCTCGCTGCAGAAATGTTCCAGAGCCTTGACCAACTCAGCAGCTCCCCACAGGACCTGCTCCAGGAGCTCCCACATGGTGGGACTTGTGGAGTGTCCTGTGCAGGGCCAGGGGCTGGACTCGATCCTTGTGGGTCACTTCCAACCCGGGAGATTCTGTGATTCCATGTTCCTATGCAGGGCCAGGGGTTGGACTCGATCCTTGTGAGTCACTTCCAGCCCGGGAGATTCTGTGATTCCATGCTCCTATGCAGCAAAATTCAGGGTTTCTGGAGGTGTCTGAGGCTTCCCTCATGACTGATCATGGGCAGACAGGAATGAAAAGAGGAAACGTCACTGAAAACAGGAAAACAGGGAAGTGGAATTTCCCCATTCCTGGTTTGATTTTCAGATCCATGACCAGTCTGTGGACATGAGCAATCAGCCAAATGCCTCAGTGTGAGCAGCCACAGAGTTTTGTTCAACAATTTCCATTTCAGGGATGAGACTTTGTGGCACTTTTAGGAGAAAATAGGCGTGTGTTTCATGAAGCCTGAGCCCTGGTTATTTTCCACAGGGAGGCTGTCACGAAGGAGGGGCTCAAGCCCTCAGAAACAAAGTAAATCCAGTGACAAGCAGTTTCCCCAACTTCTAGTGTGGAAGCTCACACTGCCAGACGTGGAATACCAAAGGGATGAGGTTTGGCTGCTTTCTGCTCCTTACCCAGCTGAGCTAAGCCCACATTTGTGTTTACCTCAGCCCCGGTGCCTGGGGCAGTTTCGAGGTTGCAGCGGTGCCGTTGCACAGGCCGGGCACGGAGCCCTGCTGTTATTTCTGGGCAGCGGGGATGGAGGGGAAAGCAGAGCAGCCTGACACATCACAGCCAGGCCCACGCTCCCTGCGGTCCTGTGGCTTGGGGCTGGGCTGAACTCAGAGCCTGGCCCCGGCCACGCCTTTCTGCTCTTTTTAAAGGCTGTACAAGCAGCCGGTTTGGTGCTGCACGGCTTCCTCTGTGGGGAGAGCAGAGAGCAGCGCCCTTCATGTCCTGGCGAGAGCTGCTGCCCCCCTGGCTGGTGATCGTGGCGGGGCTGACGGGCATCGTGCTGCTCTGTGTCTCCACCAAAGATGTGCCCATGGCCCCGCTCAGGACCAAGGTAAGGCTGTCCAGGGGGAGACAAGCAGCTAAGCTGGGCTGATTTGTTGCTTTGGGCATTATTTTATTATTGAGCTGCTTGCAAATCGAGGAGGGAACTGGGACAACGCTGTCAGGACAGGTTGGCATCTTTTAACATGCTGTAGGTTTTCAAACCAGAAACAAGCCCAGCACTTTGGTCAGGGAATACAGGCTGGATATGGTCCATGGATCAGTGGGGATGCTCAGGGCAGGCTGAGGGGAGGCAGCCCATGGCAGGAGCTTCCCCAGAGCAACAAAAAACCAGTGGTGTCAGTGCAGGGAAAGAGCTAGGTCCCTCTCCAAAGTCAGTAGGAATGTGCCTCTGAACTGCTGCTTCTGTCCTAAAAACAAATTGTCTTTCATGCCTTCTTCTCTTTGGTCCTATCTTGATTTCAATCAAAGAGCCAGTGTGCTCCTCATAGCAGGGTCAGGTCTGGGGGGTTTAATGCCCACCTGCTGTCTCTTGATGCTCCTGTTGCTGAGGTGAGCTCAGTGGCACACCATGGTTTCACCTCAGAAGGAGGCTATCCTGTGTGTTTAGAGATAGCACCCTTCCTCCATGTTCCTCTCAGAAACAAATCTGGATTAAAACCCTGCTTATTGCTCCATTTTCTGTCCTTTCCTGCTGTTGAGCTGGACATAAATGTGGTGATGGTGATCCCTCCCCTTCTCCCTTGTGCTCCCAGCAGCAGCCTCTAATTTTCTGAAGGAGGAAAAAAAAATCAATCCATATTTCTCCACCAATGCCATTCCTTGCTTCCTCTTCTGCAGCAGCCAACATGTCCCTGCTAGAAAGCCGAGCTGTCACTGGTGTGGGAGGGTGCCAGCAGGCTTGGGCAGGGAGCTCCAGCTCCTTCCCTTCCGCATTGCTGCCCCAGCCCAGCCCCAGCCCCTGGCCTGGGTGCCTGGACTGGTGCAACTGGGAGCTCCAGGAGGGCAGCAGGCAGCCAGCCTCACTGAGAGCCTGCAGCCAGCTCAGTCTGCTGCTGAAACCCTTCTGGTGGCATTAACATCAGCCTCTCAGGAGGTTTCTCCTCCCCCTCAGTCCCAGCTCTGTTTGTGGGTGAGATCCAGCTTCGACCACGCACTGCCATGCAGCTCATGGGTTTCCTTCCTGCCTGGGTAGGAGATATCCCAAACTGGGGTCATGTAATAGGAGCAGAGGAGCCCCAGGCTGGCCCTGGGGCTATTTTGGGTGTGGACATGCAGAGCTGTGCTGCAGGGTAGTCCAGTGGCCTCCACTTGCTCATCCTCATATACTGGGAGCAGCAAGGCTGGGTCAGCAGCAAACAGACAAACATTGAGGACAATGACAGAGAGCTGTGAGGGGACAAGGAGCTGAGCTGCTCATTCCACTGCTGCTGCCCTTCCTGCCAAAACATCATCTCTGTCTCTGAGGGCTGCTGTGCTGTATAGTGTCCGTGCTGGTTGCTGCAGCTCCCACAGCTCTGCACACATCAGGGCAAACCCAGCCTGTGTCACACCATCATTGCAGTGGGACATCAAAGAGACACAGGGCTCCTTGGGACAAGTGAGCTGCAGCCCTCCAATCCCTGCTCAAAAGCCTGAGCAAACCAATCAGCAGCAGTTTGAGTCCCGGAATCTGTGGAGAACTCGTACAGTGCCATCTCCCACTGCTTTAGGACCTGTTTTTCCTGAGCTCCAGGTGGCTCAGCTCTCAGGGGAAGCCCTCTGCCTGGTTTCAGGAGCAGCTCCAGCACACGCCACTGTAGGGCTGATGTATTTCTGGGCGTTTCTCCACTCCTGCTGTTCCTCGTATATATTCAGAAATGCAGATGGTTCACTGCAAATCCTCATCCTCTTCTGGCTTCGCCTGCTCTTTGAATGTTAACAAGCAAACTCAAACACTGCAGTGCAGGCCCAGGGGTCGCCCAGAATATGCTGGGTAACCCTACAATATCAATCAGCATGCATTCAGTAGTGTTTTTCAGTAGAATGTTCTGGGGTTTTTCCAGTATGGCATTGTTCTGGATGCTGGCCCATCCCGCACCATCCTCTTCATCTACCAGTGGACAACCACCAAGGCAAACAAGACCGGGGTGATCAGAGGATGCAGTTCCTGTCCTGTGCAAGGTAAGGGCCCATTTCCTGCTCAGTGGTCTGTGAGACTGCCATGGGATGGATGCAAAAACAGAGACCTGTGCATGGACCAGTGCCATAAATTCCTTGGCTCCTGCACCACCCAGCTATGCACAGAAATGGTGAAGCACAAGTTGCTTCTTTTCAGCATGGCCCTTCTCCACTGGGCAGATTTAGCCAAACACAGCTGGGCATCGGGCAGGTGTCAGGATTTTGGGGCTGCTGCAGGCAGGGAAGCATGCAGAGGGGATGTGGCTGCTCCTGATGTCCACATGGATCAGTGGTAGAGCCAAGGTTGCTGGAGCTTCTCACCCAGGAGAGGCAGTGAACAGCAACGGAGACAAATCTGACTGCAGGATGACTCCTGGTGTGTTCTGCCTCCTCCTGACTGTGCCCTGGGCAGTGAGTGGGGTAGCTCCAGGACAACAGAGCTGAAAAGATTCCAATCCCCCATATGGCATTTGACAGCACAAGCATGAGTTCAGCTTGCCTTTAGGTGTCCCATTTCAGAGAATTTGGGGGTTTTCCTCACAAATTTGGATTAGTTTGGCCCTGCCAATGCCAGCTGAGAGGGTTTCATGCATTAATGCATGGGGTTTTCCTTCCCTATCTCCTAATCTTGCTTTGATGTTAAAGCCTGGTTGTAGTGGGATGGTGGGAAGGAGTGAGCCCTCAGCAGCAGTGTGCTGTGGGAGGGCAGCTGCACAGCAAGCAGGGAGCAGGGTTTGTGCCCTTGCAGGCTGTAAACAACACAAATCACCCACAGAAGATGCAAGAAGGGCTCCCTGAAACCTTGTTCATGTCCCTCATTCAGTGGCTGGGTTAAGCAGCAGCTCTGTTTGCTGCCAGCAGCAGCACAAGAGGCCCAGGCAGGGCTGGAGCCAGGGTGTGAGTGGCCCTGCCTGCATGGCAGCACAGCCACAGAGAGCAAAGCACCTGCTGAGGGAGTCAGGAGGGTGGGGAAGGGAGACTCTCCTTCAAAACCAACATTTAAGACCCCACTGACTTGCTGGAAAAATGAAACACAGTTTCCCTCTGCAGAGCCCTGGCTTCCTCCAAGGCAGGGGTGTCTTGCTTGCCAGAAGGGCTCAGTGGCTGGGGGACAGAGGTGACACATCAGCCTCTGTGTCCTTTGCTTATTTCTATAGCAACTGAAGCCACACTTCTTCCTCTGTGGGCTGAGACAGCCTCAGCTGTTGCAGCAGTCATGTGGCTGGTATGGATGTCTCAGCTGCAGAGCTAGGGTAGTCTTAGTGTAATTTGGGATTTCTATGCACATTTTGGTCTCACTTCCATATTTTAGCAGGATGGATACCTGGAAGACTGTGACAGTGTTCACAGGGGTCCGAGGATGAGGGAAGAGATGAGGATCTGACTCCATGTTTCAGAAGGCTGATTTATTATTTTATGATATATATTACATTAAAACTATACTAAAAGAATAGAAGAAAGGATTTCATCAGAAGGCTGGCTAAGAATAGAATAGGAAAGAATGATAACAAAAGCTTCTGTCTTGGACAGAGAGTCTGAGCCAGCTGACTGTGATTGGCCATTAATTAGAAACAACTCTATGAGACCAATCCCAGATGCACCTGTTGCATTCCACAACAGCAGATAATCATTGTTTACATTTTGTTCCTGAGGCCTCCCAGCTTCTCAGAAGGAAAAATCCTAAGGAAAGGATTTTTCATAAAAGATGTCTATGACAGAAGACCTCCTTCATTCCACCTGTGACAGGTTCTGTCTTAACCATGTCCTAGGATAGCCATCTCTGGGGTAACAGCTCTCACAGTTCTCCCATAACTTCCCTTGAAATTCCATTTTGTTCCGTGGTCCTCAGGTCCAGGAGTCTCCAGCTACTCAGATTCTCCTCAGAAAGCTGGCAAGAGCTTGGAGCCATGTTTGAACTGGGCCCAGAACGAGATCCCAGCAGAGCAGCACAGCCAAACCCCCCTGTACCTGGGAGCCACTGCCAGCATGAGGCAGCTGAAGTGAGTGAATATTGCAAACCCACACCCAGAGATCAGCACACATCACAGGATCATCCTGTAACAGGCGTCTCACCCTGCTGCTCTGCAGGCTGAGCCATCCCGGATGTGCTAGCCAGGTAAAGCCTCCTCAGGCCCTGAGGAGTGGAGCATGGCATGGCTGTGTCTCCATGTGCTGCCCCAGGCAGCCATGAAGATGACAGTCCTGCAGCTGCTGCCAGGCTGGCAGTGTCTCCTTCACAATTACACTTTCACAATTAGTGATTGGGAAAACGCCCATCAGTCTGGAAGCTCAAGTGGTTTCAGTTTGTGTGACAGCCCACGTGGGCTTGCAGGAGTGTTTCTTGTCAGCACACTGGAAATGGTGGTGGGAAGGTTCCCCTTATCCCACACACTCTTGTGGACCCTCTTCTCAGTCACATCACTGGGACCTTTATCTCCTTTTAGACACTGGGGAAAAGTGAGGTCTGGAGGGGACAGGCCAGTGGGATAGGGCCAGAGGATTTCCTCAGTGACAGAGGGTACTGAGGTCCTAAATTCTTAAATGTTGGCACAATTGTTCAAACCATCCCTCTGCTGCTCTTGCCCCCAGTGCCATGTGAGGGGAGAGGGAAGCAGCAGCAGGAGTGGGATTGTCACTGTGGTTTTGGGGCTACTCCCAAAGCAGGGAGCACAGCAGGAGCCCTGCAGTGTGCCCCCACTGCAGGCAGCTCCAGGCAGGGTCCTGTAACATCAAATGTGCTTTCTTTTTCTTTTGTGTTTAGCCTCACCCATCCCATCCTCTCTGCCAGTCTCCTTGCAGCTCTGACTGGCACCCTGAAGTCATCCCCCTTCAGCTTTCAAGGGGCACAAATCCTGTCCAACCCAGAGGAAGAAGCATTCAATTGGGTTGCTGCTAACTACGTCCTGGAGAACTTCTTCAAGGTAAAGGATGATTCTCCCTGGGGCACACAGAGCTGGGCTGAGCAGAGAGAGCCACAGAGACAAGTGGTGGGATGGGCAAACCCCTGTACTTAAAACAATGTTTCAGCACAGCTTCCACTGCCTTTCAGAGGAGGCAGCTTAGATCAGCACCAGCTGGCTGATGTGAGGCCCTGGCACAGGGTGCCCAGAGCAGCTGTGGCTGCCCCATACCCCCAGCCCTGGCAGTGCCCAAGGCCAGGTTGGACAGGGTTTGGAGCAGCCTGGAACAGTGGGAGGTGTCCCTGCCATGGCAGGGGGGTGGAATGAGGTGGGCTTTAATATTCCTCCCACCCCAAACCATTCTGTGATTCCATTATAATAACTAGGCTGAAGAACCAAATCTCTGGTCTGGCCTTCCATGAACTATCCATGCATAGGAGACATCCTTCCATGAACTATCCATGAATAGGATACATCCTTCCATGAACTATCCATGCATAGGAGACATCCTTCCATGAACTATCCATGAATAGGATACATCCTTCCATGAACTATCCCTGCATCCTTCCATGAACTATCCATGCATAGGATACATCCTTCCATGAACTATCCCTGCATCCTTCCATGAACTATCCATGCATAGGATACATCCTTCCATGAACTATCCCTGCATCCTTCCATGAACTATCCATGATAGTTGCCCCATCAGACATGGGGCTCCCTGGCCAGCACATCCAGGATGCTCACATGGATGACCTTACACAGCCTGGCCATGGGGCATCCCCAAGAACTCCACTGCAGCTGTAGCTCGGTGCCTCTGTGAAACAGGAGCTGCTGTTTGTGCTGTGGGATTCCCACTGGAGTCCAGTTGTCCCATGGGGAGTCCTGTGGATGGTAGAGAAGCAGATTCTGTTGCTGCCAAAGAAAAGCCTCTCTCAGTGAGACACCAGGGAGGTCTGCTCTGTATTTAGAAGGCACTTGCTAAACAAAAAGAAAATAATTTCAGTTTTCTTGTTTCATCCATCACTTCTCAAGCCAAAGGGTGTCAAAAAGAACTTAGAGGGTGAGAGAAAGGTGGGTTAGACTGAGTTATTCCTCATCAGGGATATGAAAAGCAGCTCTGATAACCAGCAGCAAGCACACACTTGTTAGGGATTGTCAGACCTCCTCCAGCCAGGCACACTGTTTACCCCATTAAACTCTCCTGCCTCTGCTTTGAACTTCAGCATTGCTGAAGTCAGTTCTGCAGGACTGCAGGAGATAATGCCACAGGGTTCCTCTGACAGAAGGATCACTTTAGCATCAAGGCAGCACTTGCAACCCATATCTGCCCTCTTGGAAACGTCCCTGTCACTCCCCACCACCCTCTCCACCTTCTCCTGCCTGCTGGGACCTCTGCCAGTGCAGCCAGCCTGGGCAGCCCTGGTTGTCCCCACAGGCTGTGGGAAGGCTCTGTGCAGGTGGCAGTGCTGTACACTGGCTCCTCTGTTCCCTCCAAAGCCACTGGCTCAGCATCCTCATGTCCTGTGGGCAAAAAAGAGTTGGGCTGTGGGCACCATGGAGCTGCTTTCCCTCTGTGTGCACTAATGCTGGCACCTGGCTGTGACTGAGATGCAGGAGTCTCAAGGATTGACCTCTCTTGTTCTGTTCTGGGTCAGTACGACTGGCAAGGACAGCTGGTGCCCTCCGGGAAGGGCATGGCAGGAGTCCTGGCCGTGGGAAGAAGCTCAGCACAGCTCACTGCCGAGCTGCCAGAGGAGCAGCAGAGCCCAGAGGAGGCAGTGAGGCTGCAGCTCTACGGGCACACACACAGCGTGCACACCCGGCACTGCCCCTGCCACGGCACCGAGCGGCTCCGCAGCGGCCTGGTGACCGTGCTGCTGCAGGTGAGTGTGAGTGTGAGTGTGAGTGTGAGTGTCTGGTGACCGTGCTGCTGCAGGTGAGTGTGAGTGTGAGTGTGAGTGTGAGTGTGTCTGGTGACCGTGCTGCTGCAGGTGAGTGTGAGTGTGAGTGTGAGTGTGAGTGTCTGGTGACCGTGCTGCTGCAGGTGAGTGTGAGTGTGAGTGTGAGTGTGTCTGGTGACCGTGCTGCTGCAGGTGAGTGTGAGTGTGAGTGTCTGGTGACCGTGCTGCTGCAGGTGAGTGTGAGTGTGAGTGTGAGTGTGAGTGTCTGGTGACCGTGCTGCTGCAGGTGAGTGTGAGTGTGAGTGTGAGTGTCTGGTGACTGTGCTGCTGCAGGTGAGTGTGAGTGTGAGTGTCTGGTGACCGTGCTCCTGCAGGTGAGTGTGAGTGTGAGTGTCTGGTGACTGTGCTCCTGCAGGTGAGGGGGAGTGTGAGTGTGAGAGTGAGTGTGTCTGTTGTCTGTGCTCCTGCAGGTGAGTGTGAGTGGGAGTGTGAGTGTGTCTGCTGTCTGTGCTCCTGCAGGTGAGTGTGAGTGGGAGTGTGAGTGTGTCTGGTGACTGTGCTCCTGCAGGTGAGTGTGAGTGTGAGTGTGAGTGTGTCTGCTGTCTGTGCTCCTGCAGGTGAGTGTGAGTGTGAGTGTGAGTGTGTCTGCTGTCTGTGCTCCTGCAGGTGAGTGTGAGTGGGAGTGTCTGCTCATCCAGGTGAATGGGAGTGTGAGTGTGTCTGCTGTCTGTGCTCCTCCACGTGAGGGTGAGTGGGAGGGTAAGTGTGAGTGTGAGTGTCTGCTCTCTCTGCTCATCCAGGTGAGTGTGAGTGTCTGCTCATCCAGGTGAGTGTGAGTGTGTGCTCTCTCTGCTCATCCAGTGCCTGCTCAGGGGCCCAACACCACCAAATGGCAGCTGCACAACGTGTGGGCAAAGTGTCGATCACTTTAAAGTCAATTCCTCTTTAGTAGAGGCTGTTTACATATATTAGAAAACCCCAGTGCATTTGTAAAGCAGACACACAGGCACCAGTTCAAGGGTTTCCTACTTACAGGTTCTGTTTGGCTCCTACTTAACACACACAAGCAAAAAATTGCTCTTCAGAGGCGTCAACATCACCTTCAGGGTGAGGAGAGGCAAGGCTTGCCTTGGCTCCTTGGAACTGCTTCTCCATCCTAGAATGGGAGCACCCAGGAACCAACTGGGACCTTCCATTTGGGGTATTTTCTTTGCTGACTTTAACCCTAAAGCATCTTTAAAAGAGCAATATTTCATTTTGCAAACATGCCAGTGCTTTGGTTCTTACAAACTTTATTTCCCCTGGGGAATGGGGTGGAGGAAAAGAGTAGTATAGGATGGTACAAACTCAAGAATCACCATAGTCCTCATCAAAATGATGTTTTTCAGGAATTAACTGCTCCCTGCCCATTCACTTTTTTCCCTGTAAACACGACTTGCCCTTATTTGAGACTTGAATATCACACATTGGACACCAATTTCACCACAGTTATAGGGCTAAATTACTAGAGATAAGAACCACTGATTCTTGTGGGGCTGAACCATCTGGAAGGCAGATCAGAACAGCCTCCTTCTTGCAACTGGAAAGACCACAGGATGCATGGAATTGTATTTGTGCTCTAAGGGAGGGTGGTAGGGCTGGGACTCATCACCTCTCAGCAGCTCCAGTCACTGACCCTGAGCCCAGCTGGCACCTGCCTGGGCCTCGTGGTTGATTCTAGATTTGCCATAAGATTTGGCAAAGCTTTCACAGCCTCCCTGCTCGATCTCAGCACTGTGGTGCTTGGGGAAAGCTGTTCCTAACCATGTTACAGTCTGTCTTCCTGTGTGAAGCCCTGGATGTCAATGTCCTCTCTTGCTCCTTGTTTTATTGTGCCTCCAGGATCAGAGAGGTGCTAAAACCGTGTCCAATCCCTGCTGGCCCCTCACCTACTCCCAGGAGGTGCAGTGGCAGTCGGTGCATGCTGGGCCTTGTGCTGCCAGGGGTGACACACAGGACATCCCTGGCCCCAGGGAGGTCTTCAACATCACAGGCTCCAGCAACCCCACAGCCTGCATCAACCTCGTGCAGAGCCTGCTCAACTCTTCCTCCTCCTGCAGCTTCTTCAGCAGTGGCCTCAAGCCCCTTCAGAGCAGGCTTGTGGTGAGTCCTCATTTACACTGGGTAAGCAACTGGCATGAGGAACCCATGAAATGGGACCAGTTTGACCATTAATCAATACAGTGGGAACATCCAGACCAGGACACTCCTTCCTCTCCCCCTCATTGCCACAAAGCTGTTCAAACATGGACCACTGGCTTCCCACAGGGGCTGTGGGGGAGCTTTTTCCATCTGTGTGTCTTCAATGTCTGCTGCTGAGACCAACTCTAGGGCTCCATGGAGCCAGCAGGGATGGGACAGTCAGGAGTGAGTGCTGAGCAGGAGCCGGCAGGGATGATGGGACAGCCAGGAGTGAGTGCTGAGCAGCTCTTCCCACACCAGGTCTGTGGTAAAGCTGGAGATCCTCTGCCTCTCTCTTAGCAAACTTCTGGTCATGCTGCACCACAAGCACCCTTCTACCTGACAACCTGGGCTTAGTGGCCAAAGTCATTGGATTGTGAAGTCAGGAGTAGCTCAAGATCCTAGGACAAGCTGAGGGCATTTCCAGAGAGGGTAACTATGGAAGTTTCCCCAGCTCCCTGCTCCTGAGTCTGCCATGGACATGGTGCCAAGGAGCATTGGGATCATCTCCCAGTCCTCAGCACTGGTGAGGTTACACCATGAATATTGTGCTCAGTTTTGGGCCCCTTGCTGCAAGAGGGACATTGAGGGGCTGGAGCATGTCCAGGGAAGGGTCTGGAGCACCAGGAGGGGCTGAGGGAGCTGGGAAGGGGCTCAGCCTGGAGCAAAGGAGGCTCAGGGGGCCCTTGTGGCTCTGCACAGCTCCTGACAGGAGGGGACAGCCAGGGGGGTCGGGCTGTGCTCCAGGGAACAGGGACAGGAGGAGAGGGAACAGCCTCAGACTGTGCTAGAAGAAGTTTAGATTGGATATTAGGGAAAATTCCTTCACCAAAAGGGTTGTCAAGCCCTGTCATGGGGTTTCCAGGGCAGTGGTGGAATCACCATCCCTGGAGAGGATGCTGTGTAGGATGTGGCACTTGGGGACATTGTTTAGTGGTGGGCTTGGCAGTGCTGGGTTAATGGCTGAACTTGATTTTAGACATCTCCTGCAACCAATGATTTTTTGGTTGTATGACCATTCTACTTATCCAGGCAGGCCCAGGCAGGCTGCTGGATGCACACTGGGAACAGAGCTGTCTCCATCTCCAGACAGCACCAGCTCTGCTCATGTCCCTTGAGCCCTTCCAAGGCACTGGAACCAACCCTGCACCGCAAGGGCACCCTGGCAATGCCCAGCCACTGCCCCTCACTTCCCCAGGGGCACTTTCTGGTGTGCAGGGCAAGGACACAGGGCACAGTCCCACTGATGATATTTCTGCTGCTGTTGCAGGTGGTTTCTGAGGCCATGGACTTCCTGAGAGGAACTGCACCTTCTCCTGACTTGGGCCAGGCTGTCCAGAGGCTGTGTGCGATGTCTGTCAAAGAGGTAACTGTGGAGTAACTCCGTGTGCAGGGAGGGGGGAAGCAAGGAACTGTTTGCTGCAAAAACCCTCAGGGCTCAGACTGACAGGGCTGTAACTTATTGGCTCCCTCAGGGAAACATTTGGATTTGTCTGGATTTTTTGGGTTTTGTTTTTTTGTGAGGCTTTTCTTTATTTTTTTTGTTTGTTTGTTTGTTTTTACTTTGAAGAAACAGTCTCCACTTATTTTCCTTCCTCTCAAATCCCAGCTGCTGCTGGTAACACCTGGACCTAATAAAATGAAAAGCCACAAATACCTTTTACAGTATTTTAAGGAGTAAACATGAAGGTTGTCCACTCACTCCTGCACATCACCTTGGTCTTTCTGTTATCCTTCTGTCCTTAAGTGCAAGGGATACATCCACTCAGACTCCAGGGTTGCTCCCATTTCACCTGGGCCCACAGAGCCCAAGCCAGAGGGAGTTTGTCACTTCTTTCCCTGAGTTGGTGGTTATGAGGTCACCCTCATTTGCATTTACACTGATGGAGCATCCACAGTAACATTCAAATGGGGCAATTTCTCCAGGGTTTGTTAATGAGCCATAAGCAGTCCCCTAAAGCATTCTCTTCTGGAAGGAGGAGAAAGATCCCAATGTTCCAGTTAGAAGAAAGGCAGCAGCATCAGCTCAGCCTAATTAGAGAGCAGGGAATCAATCCTACCTAGCAATTCACCAGCAGGGCAACCTGGCTGTCAGTCCTGCTGCTCTTGAATCTGGATTAGTCAGATGGGAGCAAAGGAACAGATGACATGGATTTCTACCCCACAGCCCAGTGAGTGCAGGAAATGTGGTTTCAGTCTGCACAGGACACACACCCCTCCTCCAGTCCCACAGTCAGTTTTAGAACAGGAAAGGAGAGGCTGCAGCAGGCCTGAAATTCAGCTGTTGAGTATTTACTTCTTTTCTTTTTCTCTCCCCCATCTTTTTTTTTTTTTTTTTTTTGTTCTGGAAACGGCACCAGCTGATTAAGGAGTCCCAAGCAAGCCTGGATACACTTGTTGATTACTGCACTGTGTCTGCCTTCATCTTCCATCTCAGTACAAGAGGATACACACTTGACTTTGAGCAGCCTGCCTGGACTGCATTCCAGAAGGTCAGTTCCTACAGCCCAGTGCTCCCAGTGACCAGGAGGCTGCTCCCAGCACAGCCAGCCTGCTCCCACACTGACAGGCCCTAACCAGCTGGGCTTCTCCAGCAGTATAGTTTTGTAAAATGGATTCACAGTTGTGATAAACCAGTGTCAAAGAGCCAGAGATGGCATTTGTCCTCTCTGAAAAACACATGGATCAAAAATCTTCTCTGGATCAGCAGCATCTTTGGAAATCTGTGTTGACAGGGAAGGAAGTACAGCTTGATCTCCACTTAATGCTGAGGACAAGCTGCTGGTAACATTTGCTTCCCTACCTTTTTGCAATCACCTTTATACTCATGAGGGTTGATAAATATCTTATCATCATAGAATCCTAGACTGGTTTTGGACTGGAAGGAAACTTAAAGCTCTTCCCATTCCACCCCCTGCCATGGGCAGGGACACCTTCCACTATCCCAGGTTGCTCCAAGCCCCAATGTCCAACCTGGCCTCGGACACTTTCAGAGATCCACAGCTTCTCTGGGCACCCTGTGCCAGGGCCTCATCACCCTCCCAGAGAAGAATTTCTTCCTAATATCTAATAATCTAACCTAATCTCTGATAAAGTCTGAAATTGCTCCATGATCTGGAGGCCATAAAGACAGGGGAATTTGATTCAGGTCATTCCCTTCACAAAAGAAAAGAAAGCCTGTTCCCAGACCTCTTCACAACTGACAATCACAGCCATGGTCCCACTGAGCAGGGCCAAGTAATGACCATCAGAAAAGGCAAAGTAATGAGCTAGGTCCAGGACCCCCAGGGAGCTCAGCCTGGAAAGACAGAGACAAGCAACCTGAACCATAGGTGTGAGGTTCAACCAGGGCCAGAGAGACAACTATCCACAATGCAGACTTGAGATCCACTAGAACAACTCATCAGTAAGCAGAGAACAGCACTCCCCTAGAGCAGAGCTCAGGAGAGAAGGGGCTGCCCAGGCCAGAGCTTACATGGAGTGCCCATGCCCAAGGGCAGAGGTGTGGGTGGAAGTGCCATTAAGGCCTGTGGGTGTTCTCAGGGCACTCAGAGTGGGAGAGCTCCTCACTGCAAGCCAAGTCCTTGCATCAGTCTCAGATAATACATCCAAAGCCTTGGGCCCATGCACACACACACAGCTGGGGTCCAGGGCACCTCCTTCTCTTCTGATTTCTCCCTTTTTGTTTCAACAGATGGGTGACAAATCATCTGCCTGGACTCTGGGCTACCTGCTGAGCCTGAGCAGCAGCATCCCCCAGGACAGCCCAAGCTTCCTCAAGGGCATCGAGCCGGGGGTCTGGTCCTTGCTGCTGATCCTCTTCGTGGTGCTGCTCGTGGGCTCCTTCCTGCGCATCTCGTACCGAGTGATGGCCAAGGAGAGCAGCTCCAGCCACAGGAACAGCAGCGTGGTCGATGACTGATGGCTCTCTGTGACTCAGCACTTGTCACAGCACAGTTAACAGACAGAAATCACACTGGAGGATGCAAGAGATTTTCCTGCAGGGCTCCCAGCAACTTGCTGGTACTTGCACTGCTGTACTCTGAGACAATGGAGCCTGCTCCACAGGAAGTCTGGGATTCCTGGTGGATGGCAAGCTACTCATTCTCCAAACAAGAACAGCCTGCATGGCTCTTCCTTGGGCTACAGCTGGGATTACTCATGTCAGACCTGAAATGATGCCTCTGAGCAGGCAGGCCCTGAGCTCTTGTGAAGCTCATGCTGTATAATCCTGTCAAATCAGAAGAGGTGGTGTCTGAAAAATGTGCTTTGTCCCCTTCTGTGGCCTCTTGAGAGATGATACCTGCAGTATTGCCATTAGTGAGGACTGGAAGGGCATTAAAACACAGTCAGAATGTAAGAGCCAACTGCTTCCAGATATTTTCTGCCTGATCTGTCTGTGCTTTCATGTCAGTGATGATGGCCATGTGTCCCTTCCAATGAACGCTCCTTGCTGACCAGGAATCCTTCAAAACCAACCCTTCTTAGTCTTGGCCTCTACAAAATGTGCAGAGGATCAAAGGAGAAACAAAGGGCACAGACACACAGCTGAGGTTTTGCCTCTCAGCTGAGTCACAGCCACACAGGGTTAAAATTGCCAATTTAAACTCTTTAGCAAGGACTCAAATGAACACATTTAATTTCACATTTGCTAAAGCTGGGCTCATGCTGGGCTGAGGCTCACCTCTTTGTTCATTTGCACTGACCTGCTTCTCTTGCTGACTCTGGAAGTGTCTCAGCTGACACTGCCCTTCAGACCAGAGCAGACTCAGGAACAGAAGCTTTCCTAATTGTCACTTTCATATTTCACCAGGACCAGAGGTACTTTATGATCTAATAATCAGGATTCCCCTGGGACCTGCAGTCATTCCAGCTCCTCTGGTCTGTCCTGCACTTCTGAAAGATGAGGTGCTGTACAAATTCTGAATTACTGTGAAGAACGGGGATCGATTCACAAGCACTGTCCTTTGACTGAGGCATTTAGAAATCACTTCTCAACTGCTTCAGAGCCTTAAAACACACAGACTGTTAAGAGCCTCAGGGATGAGTGTCTCCAAGGCTTTTCAGACCACTTTAAACAGAAATGTAAATGCTCACAGATGCAGTGGTGAGCCTTGCAGGATTTTTAAAGCTACCATGGCACCTAAATCCTTTCAAATCTGATTATTCATCCCTTGTGCTCCCAACTGATAATATAGGACACACACACACCCCATAATATTGGGGTATTCATGCATTTTCAGGCCAATTAATGAAGGTTTGGAACCTGCCAGTCAAGTTTAGAGGGCTGTGGAAACAGACTTGAGCTTCATATTCATTTCTTTGAGTTGCACGTTAGATATTTTTAATTGTATCATGTCATTAAAGATGTTTGAATAGACTGTCTGTGTTATTCTTGGCAAGAGATCAAAGCAGCGGGGTTATTGTGAACACAGAGTGTTTCAGGGAGCAGGATGGGGGTGCTGTTGCTGTTTTTACTCAAGGGCTGTTTTGCTCTGTACTTTTGGGGTACACAATGAGAACCCCTGAAGGCACTTTGCAGTGAAAGAAAAAGATTTCAGATAACCTGACTGCTGGGATTTAGTTGATGAGAGACATGCCTGCACCTTTTGATGTGTTCTTTGCTCAAACCATCTGAAGAAGGTAGGAGGCATCCAGGCAAGGTGGCAGAGAAAAAATAAAGAGGTTATCATGGAGTCAGCAATATCAGGGAAATTCCTGAGACTTCATTCATCCTGCACCTGGGAATGCAATCCTTGAGCAGTGACCTGACAGCACAGGGGTGAGCTCTGGGATTCCTGGCTCAGATTTGGAACATGCCAAGGAAGAATCCCAGCACTGTCAGAAATGGAAGGAAGCCAGTGAGATGCCAGGAACTCCTGGACTCCAGGTGCTCTGGCCTGTCAGTCACTGCACCTTCTTGAACTGGAATAGATCACAGGGTCCAAGAGAAAAGGCTGTCAGCCAGACCTTCCCCAAGCTCTTGTTTAGAAGCTTTGGGACTTCCACACAGATAATAAGTGGGTAATTAGGCAATGAGCTCAGCATGGCCTCCTGACACTTCACTTTTGCCTTGCACATGCCACTGAATTAAATCCCTGCCCCTTGAGCCACCCTGACAATGAACACTGCTCTGCCATGAAGAAAACCACAACCACTTCTTTTTCTGACAGATAAAAACATTTATAAATGTTTTTACTAGACGATAAGATAAACTGAGATTTTTAAATGGGTGTTTTGGTAATAAAAAAAGGCATAAAATAACAAAATGGGACCCATGAGAAGAAAGGAGACTAATCCTGGTAACATATTCCTTCCTCCCAGCTCTCTGTAGAGCAGCTTGTTCATGTCAGCCCCACAACACCTTTGCAGAATAAATCTCCAGACTGCCTGGACAGGCAAAATCTACTTAAAAGGAGATTCTAGATGAACTCACTCACTTTGAAACAAAGATGCTTGCAGGCCTTTAGTTACAATTCAACTGTGGAAATGATAAATAATGAGGATTTTCTAACTGTCTGTAAATTCTTTATTTTATTATACAGGCCCCTCGCTGCTCACTCAGGCTGAACCATGGCAGACAATAAAGTCTGCTCATGTGCAACTGCAGTTCTGCTGCTGTCACCAATTACCAATAGGAAGGAAATAAAAGTATTAGATTAAAAAAATTGACACCAGAAAGGACTTTGTCTATTCTGGTTTCAGACACACAACAGGGTGACTGATCTGCCCCTGGCTATTAGGGCTGTCATTTAGGCATCCCAGAGCACCATGGGTTCTCACCAGTACATCCCACCTGAGTTGTCCCAATCAATTCCCATGAATATTGAGGGAAATAGTTTGCTGCCAGCAGTTCCCCTCTGCAGCACCCACAGGGCCTGAGTTGTTTCTTTCTTCCCATTCTGACACACCCAGGCTCCCTGTGGTAGGAGAGACCCAAGCTGAGGCCTTGGAATCCACAACTCTTGTGGAGCAAAACCAGCAGAAGATGAGAGAAATGCCTTTCATGGATGGCTGGATTTAATATATTTTCATCTTGTTCTTCTACCTCGCCTCTGATCCTGTATCTGAGTGTCTCTCCAGAGAAGCAGGCAGCCATATGATGTTTATATCCTACCTCATGGACTGTCACTCCTACTTCAAGAGCTAATTCTGAACACACTGAAGAAAAACAGGTCTGAAGGAATACTGGGATCAGAAAACCTGCAATTTTTACCACAGCTTTCTTAATATAAAAGTCCTCTCACAATGCCATCAAACGCAGGCAAGTCCCAGTGTTTTGGTGTTTTCTAAGTGCAGACATCAGTGCACCCTGAGGTGCCCAGGTTCCCCCCATGTGAGACACTCACAGCCCTCCTGCAGGGGGATGCTGTCAGATCCCTGTTCAGGTCACACAAACACAGAACAGGAATTGCTGCCGTACAAGTGTGCAATGCCAGGGATCAGGCACGAGAGGGAGGCTGGCACAGCACCCCTTAAAGCCTGAGGAAATCTCTGACACAGCCAGCAGCTGCTCCCACCACAAATGACATCAGTCAGCAAGGAGGCTTCTCTGGGAACACCTCAGGGATGAAGAGGATAGACACTGCAGTATGAAACTCTCTGTGTGGGGTGGGAAAGCCACTCTGACCAGGGATTCAAGAAGCCATGGCACTGGGAGAAGTCCTCTATGCAGGGAGACAGGCACTGGCATGGAATATGGAAGAAGGCTCTTTTGGAAACGAGAAAGAATAATCCCTACCAGGAAGAGAAATGCCCTGAGAATGAAGAGGAGGTTTGAGAGAGACAGAGGAATGACAAAATCAACTTTTGTGTGAAGGAAAGCTTATTTTTGTTCACAGCAGGGGTGTCACCATATGTGCACCTCATGACCAAATTAGTCACCACTTCTTGGTGCAAAGTCTCAGGAGAAACAGATCCTCCACGTGGAAGAAGGTAACAGCTATCAGGCTTATCACTGGACAAGGAACAGCAGCAGAGCTGTGGAACCTTCATGGGAACAATGTTCAAAGTTCACAGGTTTCAAACATGAAAGAGATGTAAATGGCCAATTAATGCCAAACATCACACAAAGTAAAAGCTGGTTTAGCATTACCTTGTCTCACAGTATCACAGAAAATGTGAAACAGTCCTGGAGTGAAAGCTCTGAAGGGACAGACTCAGAATGGAGTTACGCAGTGGGAATCATCAAACCAAATGGAAGGAGCTCTTCTTCCACACCAATCATAGCTAAACCACAGGACTCAGCAGGACAGGAGGCTGTTTATGCCATAAGTTTATATGGCTGCAAAAGGTGATTAGATTAATTCATAATAACCCATTGGGGCTATTAAACAAAAAGTTGCTTGTGGCTAAAGATTTGCCCCAACCACCTGCCACATCCATATCTGTTTGCCCTGTTCCCTTTTGGTAACTGCTGCAGAGCATTAGAGACAAGACACTGGCCTGGGTGGGTCTGTGGCTTGATCCCATTCAGTTATTCTGTTTTCCCTTAGGCACAAATCCCACAGCTGCACCTCTCACTCACTGGTCTCTGGAAGCAGCCTCTCACCTCCATAACTTCAATAGCACAGGAGCAGTAATTTCTGGAAAACAAGGCTGTTTATCCTTAGAAGTAATAATCAGAATAAGAAAACACCTGCACATACCCACGTCTCACTCCAGTGTTACCATAAACTGGGAACAACCCCAACACCAAAACCCCTCTGGTTCTGGAGCAGCTCCCACCCACATCCTCCAGAGTCCCTTCCTTAACTCAAGGCTTCAGGATTTTACCTACAGGAACAGAATCTGTGATTCCTGCCTGGGCTCCTGCCAGCCCCAGGTAGAGGCTCAGTTCAGATCCTGTTTCACACACAGGCTGCAATCTCACTGGTTAAACACCAAGGGAGGAAGGACAGTTCTGCGTGCCTGCCTGCTGAG